CAAAAACCAAACGCTACTTGTATTTTTGATTCTGTTTCACTGGCACTTCCGCCAACCACACGTGTGGAGAGACGAGGAATTTGTGGTACTGGATGCTGAGCGAGAAAGCGTCGCGCTATTATTTCTACTGAAAGCACTGAGCCGCCGTTACAGTAATTGATGATTCTGTGAGTTTCGTCGAAATCCCGAAACACAATGGCGCAGGGGACACCACGCAAATTCAGCGAGAAGATAGCAATAATGGAGAGGAAGCAGAACGAGGACCAGGAGGCGTTCACGTCGGTGATGCGCGATGTGCGCGCCATCACCAGCAACTGCACCGCGGCGCCACCGGTGTGCTCAAGCCCGCAGGCGCTGGCCCCGCCGATGCCTTGGAACAGGCCCAGCGGCTCGTTGCCCAATGTACACGAGATGGTGCAGCAGTGTGTGCAGCCGGGCATGAACAACTGGTCCTATTGGCCTGGCCCCGCACAAGTGAACCCACGACCTCAGGCAGCAGCACGGGGTCGCTCACCGGGTGCTGCGCACTATCACCCCTACAAACCTTCGAAACCGCACGAACGGGGCTCACCGTTGTCGCAGTTCGAGTACCACCACCTGCACTATCCGCCCAGCAATCACCTGCAACCGCCGGATGCCATGTGGCCAAAGTGAGTGCTTTATTGCTTTCGTACAGTACAAGCTTTGGCTCGCGGTGCACGACGTGCTTCATTACTTGAGTAGTAGCATCATGACCTAGCAATGATCCGGTATTCCGGCGATACCGCTCATGCCCCGACATCTCAGCGGTACTAAATAAATAGCGCCACGTATCTCGATGGCTGGTGCGACTATACGTTTTTGCGTGCAACCTGTTGCGTGAGTTAGAAGGAGCAATGTTCAGCAATCGAAACCTGTCTTTGAAGTAAAAACCCAGAATGCAAAGCCTAAAAACTTGGAGCACCCAAAAACACTGAGTGTGGAGAGTGAGCATACAAGAAAATTTTGGGAAAAACTGGATAGTTGAACAAATTTTCGCGTTTCATACGGACTATAAATTTTTGCGGGATTTTTCCCCAGACTTTTCAGAGTCTAAAAATATTTTTTTAATAAATTCTTCTGCAAAATGCCAGCTCTCAAAGATCAAGCAGTGGCCAGCTTCAACAGCAGGTGCTTCGTGCACAAAAAATTTTGAGTTCTAAATGTTACTGTTTTGAGGCGTCGTCAGCCGATTTCAGCGAAACTTCTCTATGCAAATAGCTTAAGCACAACTACAACATACAATCTGGGCGGTGGAAATACTCTGTCAGTTTATAAAACCAAAACTGTCCATGTATCCAGTGATACGATTCATATCGGTAACCTGTAGGAGGAATGCAGATGTATATCCTAAGTATTACAACCGCTTGCTCAGTGTAAGTACGCATCCTCCTCCTCGAAAACCCTCAACCAGTACCATTTGCTGATATACGACATCCACAGATTTTCAGCAGAGCAAGTAACATATTCCATCTATCGGTTTTAATACGTTTTGTGCTGTGTAACGGCAGTACAAAACACATATTGTCATGGGGTTTTATTTCCTGCCGTAGTCTCATTATTGTTGTCTTACATTTTGGCGTCCATCTATTGACCGTTCAATTGGTACACTGTTAAGAAGTGTCCTTCATTTCACTGTTCAGTTATCCCGATTATCCTTCATTTCACTGTTCTTTTTGTCGCAGCCAGTACTGACTTTTATAGTTTATTTAGTGACACTCCGATTACCCTTCGTTCCTATACTCTTTTTTACGAAGTTTCACATCCATAAACAGCAACAATTTTTGAATAGTCGTATGCGATTGTTTTAGTTCGACACCTTCGCAGAATTTCGATGGTGCTAT